TTCTGTATACTGAACTGAATAACGCTATTCAGTTCAGAACAGAAAGAGTACTCTTTTTGTAACCTCTTACAAGATAACATGATTTTAGTGGTAGAAGCCTTCCCACATCAGAAAAATAATTAATGTACATGAACATTTTACCTGCAGACAAAATTTTGAACGCATAAGTTCAAAATAAAAACTTCGTATTCTCACCTTATTCACATTGAAGAGTTTATCTTAGTTCTTCATTTCCTACAAAATAGCTTATCTTTGTCAACAGCATCTAAGAACGACCATTTTTAAATCTTTATTGACATTCCTTAACAAAGGGAACGTATTTTTCGTCCAGCTATAGAAACATTGATATACCTTATCAACCAGTTTTTATCTCTTTATATACTGTATAACATGTAAAATGTCTATTATTTTCCTACCATGAACATTTTTTTTTCGCATATCTACACATATGACTCAATACACGGAAATGTATATCACGTTTTCTTATAAAGACCTTCAAGTCAAACACTCGTTGCGCTACAGCGACCAATGATCCGTTCAAACAACGGTATCTTGCAATCGGCCTCTCTGTAAACAAACGAATTTTACAACAACCACAACTTTCTGTGATCATTTATCCTGCTTTATTTGAACAAATTATCACTGTAACTTTACCTACTCGATCGTGCGCAATCTGCACGCTTCTCGACGTAAACCGAGAAATATACTATTATTATTATTATTTATGTGGTGGTTGGTGAGAATAGGTCAACACCAGTTCAGCTGACTAGCGGAATTCCGCAAGGATTAGTGTTAGGACCCCTTCTATTTCTTCCGCACATAAACGACTTGCCAAGCACTCTGACATCATCGTGCTACACTTTTGCAGATGACATCAAAGTGGTTGGTTCGAATGGGAGAAGTGATCTGGGGCGGGATTTAGAGCAGGTAGCTTGATGGGCAAAGGAATGGGACCTGAGTCTTAACGCTACCAAGAATCATGTGCTCACAGGGGCACTTGACAGTATGGTAGTTCACTCAGAAGAACACAAATTCGCCATCGAACCCGCTACTGGGGTAAAGGACTTGGGGCTCATGATATCGAACAACTTCAAGTGGTCTGACCAATGTTCAGTAGCGGCGCGCAGACTACCTTCGGTTCTAACTTGCAGAAGACAGGAAGTCTTCATTCTCGTTTACAAGGCCATAGTCAGATCACATCTAGAGTATTGTGTACAGGCTTGGGCACCCTATTCAAGAAGGATGCTGCCTGTTTAGAGAAAGTGCAGAGATTGGCCACAAGAATGGTTGAAGGCCAGAGGGGAAAAACATATGAGGAAAGACTTGAGGCTGTAGAACTTTTCTCATTAGAAAGAAGGAGGCTGCGAGGAGACCTGATAGAAACCTTCGAAATCATGGAGGGAATATCGGGATAGAAGCGGACAGTCTCTTTACATTAGCTCCCCAACACGGCACTAGGGGTCATGAGCTCAAGCTCATGAAGCAGAGGTGTCGACTAAACATGAGGAAGCACTTTTTCAGCATTAGGATAGTCGACAGTTGGAACAGGCTTCCCAAGGAAATCGTCGACCTCCAAACTGTGCAAGCATTTAAGACTGCACTCGATAAGCGATGGGTAGAACTATTCCCATCACTGGCAGTGTAGACGTGTGTAGATGTGTCAAATGTTTAGGATGCCTTTTCCCTTTTTACTGGTACACGCATGGAATGTTCACGTCTAATAATTCACTCGTCAACTTGGTGAGATGAGATCCTATTTCTCATTTTTATTTCAGCGATGTTGGGTGCTCACGTTGTGAGCATACCATCGAAGGAATTCTAGACGCTCGATTGGCTGTGGCCATATTCAGTCATGTGCAACCTGACCGGACCTGACCTGATAAATTTCATTTTTACAAATCTGGTGGATGAGATACTGCACCTAAATATTCTGCCTTTCAGAAAAAAGCAGAACGAACTTTTGACGATCAGTGTTGGAAGCCAAGGAAACTAGCTGACAACACAACGATCTGGACGCACTATTGGTCTCGACCACTTCCGTCTTGTGCAAACTGAACTGAACTGAACTGTTCTGTCCTGACCTTGACCGCGCGTGCATCGAATTTTGGAGTGGAACGTTCCGCTTTAGAATTAGGCCGACAATAAGAGGTGGAAACACTCGAGAGTCCAATTTCCTCTTGGAAAATTAGTGGAAGCGCAATTTGTACTGGGCCTTCCGCGCTGAAGATCGGAACTCAGAATCTGGGAGCCACGAATGAGCGGAACCCGGGTAGCAGGATCAACGGGACAAATTCCCGTTCAGGTGAGTGACTAGGCTACAACGTTTACTGCCGAGTGTTTTAATCGTTTTTGTGTAGGGTTTTCATCTTTTCACACGCCCTTTTTACCGGACATAGTCTTGAAGCGTATCTAGACAAGTGTCATGGTAGCTCAGAGAAATCCTCCTAAAGGGGCTACACGAGCCAAGCAGGTCATTGCACCCTACCTGTGTGCCAGAAGAGGGAGTTCTCTCGAGGTGACTGAGGGCATACGTTGTGATCTGTGCCAGGATTGATTTCACCAACGGTGCAGTAAACTAACTTCCAAGGCGGTTGAACACTATGCCGTCCACAAGTTTCTGAAATGGGTTTGTCCAAACTGCACCAGCTCTATCGGAATATCCAGGACGAAAATACTGCCTCCAAAAGGAAACTCTCCTTCACAGATGGCCGTAAAGCTCCTCCGTGTAACTCGACCCCGAGTAGGGAGATAATCAGAAGTAAACTCGAGCTAGGGACCCTGATGCCTGGGGAGGGAAACCAGTCTGGAGTAGTTAATGACCGGGAATGGATTTTAGTGGGAAAACCTGAGCGTGATGAACAGCAAACCACGTCAGCGGCACCCCTAAGCCGAGGAGTTAAGTCCAGCCCTAGGGCACGCGTCGCCAAACCAGCAACCGCAGGGGTTAGTGTGCAGACCGTCGGAAATAGGAGGGGAACCAACAAGGCTACCCAGTGTCACTTGCCACCAGGGAAACGGGTACTCGATGCGCGCATGGACGCTAACGAGGAGGTCATTGCAAAGCTCACCGAAATCACCACCAGCCTGAGAGACTCCTTGCATAGGCTCTAGGCCCATACCACAACAGGGAGGAACAGAAACGTCGTTATCAGGGGCATCCCAGAGCCGTTTTGTAGAGAAACGCGCAGCCGCGGGAAAACGCTCCTACACCAAGTTAGAAACATAATCCGGCTCGCTCAGATCCCCTCAGAGGTGCAGATCAAGCAAGTGTTGCGCCTTGGGAAGTGGCAGGGCGATCAACGGGCACCTAGCGCCTTACCACCTAGGCCAACCCTTGTAGAGCTTCATAACCCTAGGCATCGTGACTTGATGCTGTCAGCTTCCGCCAATGTAAGGAAGTTGACCGAAGAACAGGTAACCATAAGGCCGGACTACCCCCGCGAACACAACACAACGGCCTCACCTAGCTGCACGCAGCAGTTTAGCGCCAAGCTTCTGTCCGTCAACGTAGCGAGAGTGGGGCACGAGAATCCGCGCAGGAAAACGATCCTCGCTCCCAGGGCTTACCCGAGGGATAAACCTCTAGGGCACGAAGACCACAATGTGGCGATGGACCCACAGGGAAACTCCACCACCAGAAGTAAAAAACTTGGAGGTCGCCCGGGAGAAACTTCCGGGTGCAACCCCTCAAAAGCAATAGGAGGTAAAAGGGCGCTGGCTCTCAGTGTTTACTAAACTAACGCCTGCAACCTAATGAACAAGTGGGCCGAGCTCCGGGCTGAGGCTGACCAAACTCACTGACTCGCCATAACGGAGACCTAGCTCAAGTCTGATTTTTGTATCGCTGGTTTCTGTCCACCAGGATTCCAGGCTTATCGCTGCGATCGTCCAGGGGATAGGTTGGGGGGTGGCTCTACCTGCTCGTGGCAGACCTCTTTCCTCAGACGACCGTGGATAACCTGTGCACGGAGAACATTCAGGCTGCCGGGTGCGTAATGAAGCTCTCAGGAGTAGGATTAGCAGTCCTGTGTGTTTATCGTAACCCAAGCACAGGCATCGACGAAAATGAGTTGCTGATAGATTTTCTCCGGCACACAACAACTCGGCAAGTAGGGTTCTTGTCTTGGGGGATTTCAATGCTCCTGAGATCGAATGGGAGATGGAGTATGCGCCTTTTGGCAGCTTTGGGGATGAGCTACTAGAGGTGATGCATGAATTGGCGCTCACCCAGCACGTCACCGATCCCACCAGATGGCGACTGGGTAACTCTCCCAGCACCTTAGATCTTGTGTTTACCGAAAGTAGGAATGACATCAGGATCACTACCATAGGCGCACCGCTAGGCGGAATTGACCATGCTAGTATCCGGTGCCAATACGGCTGTGCTCTTCCGTTTTCTCAAGTCAAATTGAGGCGACGCTATGGGCGCATGCATACCAAATGTCTCCAGGCTGCGGCTCAAAGCATGCTCTGGTCAGAAGCAAACTTTGGGACTGTGGAGTCATGGAATTTGATCAGGGATAACCTGCTGACTCTCACCAATGGTTTCGCACCTCTGTATCCCGTTAGGTCGAGGACCACCCCACCCTGGTGGTCCAGTCGAATGAAGAAAGCCCTAATTAGAATGCGGGCCGCGTGGCAGCGACTCTGTGCCACAGGTGGTTATATTAGACACCTTCGGTACATACGAGAACGAAAGTTTTCCGACCGCATCCTCCTGGATGCCAAAAGAGCTTTCCCTGGCCAAGAAAACAAAGCGCTGCTACGGCCTACTACGAGTATGCACAGTCTAAGTCGACTAAAAGGGAAGCAGTCGGCTGTATCAGGCAAAAGGACAACNCCCCCGCCACGACAAACTCCCAGAAGGCCATCGCCTTGTGTGAGCACTTTCAGAGCGTACACACGAAGGATGAGGGTATCCTGCGACCCATGCATCAGCCAGCAGGATCCACACTGATGGAGGAAATTATCTTCCTACCGGAGGAGGTGGAAAAGACCCTGGTGAGTTTAGATAGGGGAAAAGCGGCGGGACCGGACAAAATCCACTTGGCACTGCTTGGGCCTCTAGGGAGTATCCTGGCAGCTCCGTTAGCTCGCCTCTTCAATCTGTCCATGGCGACAGCCACATTGCCACAGGACTGGAAAGTAGCTAAGGTGCCCCCATCCACAAAGGGGGCGACAGGGAGCTGGCCACTAACTATCGACCCGTTAGCTTACTCTCCGTGATCTTAAAGGTCATGAAAAGGTTATTCAGAGATAAGATGACCAGCTACCTCACCCAACGTATTTCATGCTGTATGTTTTGAAAATCCTTCCAAACCCATAATGATTTATGGTGAAATAACGTTACCTGTGTGTTGCTCTTATATTGACATTTCTCGATCAAAAACACCATACATCATTATTTATCTGTTAATTTGGATGCCCGGCACATTTGAATTCGGCGCGGTTTGAGAACGGGAGCGACGTTAAACTCCTTGGCTCGCATAAGGGGGTAGACCTCCAGCTTGACCTAGATGCAGTGCAAGCATGGTCTACAGTGTGGGCTCTCCCTTTAAATGCAGCAAAGTGTAAGATCCTACGAGCCGGGAGTGCTCAGGGGGCTGGGCCACGCTACATGGGGACTCGTGACGGGGATGCTATGGCAGTTGTGCCAGAAATCAGGGACCTAGGGGCCACTCTGAACTCCGCTTTTAACTCCTCTGCCCAGTGTCTTGCTGCGGAACGTACGACCAATAGAGCATTGTTCAGGTTGAAGCGCACAGTGACGTCTGGGGATCCTGTCGTGATAGTTCCGCTCTACATGGCCTTCGTTCGGCCGCACCCTGAGTACTGTGTACAAGCTTGGTCCCCTAATCTGAAGAAGGACCAAAGGGTTTTGGAAAGGGCACAGAGGAGGTTCACGCGCATGTTCCCGCACCTCCGGGGAGCGACATATGCCGAACGCCTTCAGGGGTTGAACTTGTTCTCACTCAATCGGAAAAGACTGAGGGGGGACCTGATTGAAACCTTCTGTATCTTGACGGGTTTCTCTCANCCCAACAGAAGGGGACACCGCATGAAGTTAGACAAGCCTCGGGCGCTCAAACGCCTGATAGCCGCCTATTTTTCGCACCGGGTAATTAATACATGGAACAAACTGCCCCGGGAGGTAGTGGCGTCTAAAATCATTGCCGAGTTTAAGCTGAAGCTTGACGCATCCTGGGCATCGGCGTTCCCCGATTGTATCTGACACCGGGCCTAAGGTCGCT